GACTTGTGGCTGAAAGCATTCATGATAAGATTTGCTTTACATACGTACCCTTTGCCATTCTCTCCACCCACTTCAATAAAAATTAGGTCTTTCCCACCCATACAGTACCAGTCAAATTTAAAGTTGAATGACAGTTTCTATCATGGTCATCAAATTATTCTGTAACTGCTACATGTGCAGCCTCTTCTTCCAGCAGGGAAGAAATAAAGTGCAATTGAAACTTAGCACTTAACTATTGCCAACGCAAAAGGAAGAACAGGGACTATTTAGATAAAGTGAGGATCATCTTTTAATGTTTCTATAAGATAGTGAGGTTTGGGCAAATCTCAACAGCTCTTAGGGACTGTGGTAGTATAAATGATGATGATTGAGTTCCATCTCTCTGATCTGCACCAGATCCACACAGGTATGAAAACCAGCTTTTGTCACTGGAAGAAAGGTCTGAATAGACACTAGGAACAGGTCTAATGAATAACAAGGTGGAGTTTTGCATTCGTTTTCTATTTTTTTCTGCACAGACTCTTTCCAAGGCAGAGTCGCTCTTTACCTTTTTAGGTAAAATGCACCCAACAGGGGACGTACTACAGTTCATCATGTGAAACCTACTTACGCTGACAGAAGCTAGAAATAAAATGGTTTTCCCACTGCAAGAGTATCTTCCCACGTAAATTACCATATCCAGCCTGTTCCAACTTAATATCAGTTTCTTTGTGATAACATGGAGTTGCCAAGCAACAGGGAAGACAGAGTCACAGTTCCGGGCAGTCAGTCAAAAGCTCATTGTCAGTCCCGCTTCTCAGGACATTCTTTTTCTGGACTTCACTGCACTTTTTTTCCATATTTCTTCCTAGCTGAAAAAGCAAAGCACTGCTTTCCTTTTTTTTTTTTTTTTTAATAGTGCTTGGGAATGCTAGGGTTTATTTTTGTTAGAAACTTTCTATTTCAATGTCCCATTAGAAATTTTATATCGCTATCAACCAGCTACAACACTGTGCAGTGTGCTTGCATAGTCAAAATGCAGCCTGGGAGAAGACAACTTGAAGCTGACTGTATTTATCTTCTTTGAAATTTTCATTAAAAACTCACTAACTGTTCAGTGTAAAGAGTCATTCTTAATACCCTGATTTCCTCTTTTTTTTTTGTTTTGTTTTGTTTTGTTCCCTACAATGTGCTAATTTGCAAACTAGGGTGGCCATAAAAACATCTAGAGACATACTGGAACTAGTTAGAGACGGATTACTCTTATCTCCCTTTTGTTTTAATGACTCCTTAGGGGTTTTCATTTATAGCCACATCCACAACAAGTGCAAAAATATCGAAAAAAATGCACAGAATTTTAAAAGTAGAATTTGCTTTCTCTTTCCTACATATTTTCAGAGATACACCATTAGCTCTGTTCAGACTTAATCTTTCATGAAATTTTATGGAAAATAGTTTGGTCGTTGTTTATTGGACTCTGAATTTCTTCTGAAGGAACTTAACATTTGAAACTCTTACTTCTAGTGAGCTTGATCCTAGGAGAAGCAAAGCATCTTAGCCCACATTTAGTGAGCATTTATGCATAAATATTTGTTGTTGGAGAGCAGGTGAATGCCTTGGCACCTGACGTGGTCTTGCTCTGTTAGTTTCTTGTGGCATTTTACGGGGGGTTGATATCCAGATAATCAGTGAAAACACATCAGTAATGCAAAACTCATTCACAGTTGACACCAAGAAGCATGTCCTTTTGGAAGACTTCTTTCATTTTCCTGGTGTGATAATTTCTTCTATACCACTTCAAAATTATATATATACATTCTGTGTAACTTTATTTAATCCTTGTTTTTGCATCCTGTACAAATTTGTATCATCAAATTC